ACTCACCAACACTCACCACCACTCACCACTACTCACCACTCACCACTACTCACCACCACCACTCACCAACAACACCACCACCACTCACCACTACTCACCACCACCACTCACCAACACCACTACTCACCAACAACACCACCACCACTCACCACAACTCACCAACAACACCACTCACCACCACTCACCACTACTCACCACTCACCAACAACACCACCATTGACCAACACTACCACTCACCACCACTCACCGCCACCACTCACCACCACCACTCACCACTACTCACCACCACTCACCAACACCACCACTCACCACTACTCACCACCACCACTCACCAACCACTACCACTCACCAACAACACTACCACTCACTACCACTCACCGCCACCACTCACCACCACCACTCACCACTACTCACCACCACTCACCAACACCACCACTCACCACTACTCACCACCACCACTCACCAACCACTACCACTCACCAACAACACTACCACTCACCACCACTCACCAACAACACCAACACTCACCAACAACACTACCACTCACCACCACTCACCAACAACACTCACCACCACCACTCACCAACACTCATCACCACCACTCACCACCACTCACCAACAACACCACCACTCACCACCACCACTCACCACCACCACCACTCACCACCACGACACTCACCACCACCACTCACCACCACTCACCACCACTCACCACTCACCACCACTCACCACCACCACGACACTCACCACGACACTCACCACTCACCACCACCACTCTCACCACCACCACTCACCACCACCACCAGGACACTCACCACCACTCACCACCACCAAGAACACTCCACCACCACCACTCACCACTACTCTCACCACCACCACTACACTCACTCACCACTACTCGCAACAACCACCACGACACTCACCACTACTCACCACCACCACCACGACACTCACCACCACTCACCACCACCACCACGACACTCACCAACCCCACCACCACCACTCACCACCACCACTCACCACTACTCTCACCACCACCACTCACCACCACCACCACGACACTCACCACCACCACCACTCACCACCACTCACCACCACCACCACTACTCTCACCACTCACCACTACTCTCACCACCACCACTCACCACCACCACCACTCACCACCACCACTACTCGCAACCACCACCACGACCACGACACTCACCACTACTCTCACCACCACTCACCACCACCACGACACTCACCAACACCACCACCACCACTACTCTCACCACTCACCACCACCACCACCACTCACCACTACTCTCACCACCACTCACCACCACCACGACACTCACCACCACCACCACCACTACTCTCACCACTCACCACCACTACTCTCACCACTCACCACCACCACTACACTCACCACCACTCACCACCACCACTCACCACCACCACTCACCAACACCACTACTCTCACCACTCACCACCACCACTCACCACCCACCACTCACCACCACCACTCACCACTACTCTCACCACCACCACTCACCACTACTCTCACCACCACCACGACACTCACCACTCACCACCACCACTCGCGCCTTCCGTCCTCCTGACCAGCGCCACTGCTCACTCCTCCTCCTCTAGCCCCTCCTCCTCACACACAGACACAGACAAAGGTCCCCCGTGTAGCCTCTAACAGGCTGCAGGGGCAAGTGCTGTTAGCTAGCACCTCACACACAGACACAGACAAAGGTCCCCCGTGTAGCCTGTGACAGGCTGCAGGGGCAAGTACTGTTAGCTAGCACCTCACACACAGACACAGACAAAGATCCCCCGTGTAGCCTCTAACAGGCTGCAGGGGCAAGTGCTGTTAGCTAGCACCTCACACACAGACACAGACAAAGATCCCCCGTGTAGCCTCTAACAGGCTGCAGGGGCAAGTACTGTTAACTAGCACCTCACACACAGACACAGACAAAGATCCCCCGTGTAGCCTCTAACAGGCTGCAGGGGCAAGTGCTGTTAGCTAGCACCTCACACACAGACACAGACAAAGATCCCCCGTGTAGCCTCTAACAGGCTGCAGGGGCAAGTGCTGTCAGCTAGCACCTCACACACAGACACAGACAAAGATCCCCCGTGTAGCCTCTAACAGGCTGCAGGGGCAAGTGCTGTTAGCTGGCACCTCACACACAGACACAGACAAAGATCCCCCGTGTAGCCTCTAACAGACTGCAGGGGCAAGTGCTGTTAGCTAGCACCTCACACACAGACACAGACAAAGGTCCCCCGTGTAGCCTCTAACAGGCTGCAGGGGCAAGTGCTGTTAGCTAGCACCTCACACACAGACAAAGATCCCCCGTGTAGCCTCTAACAGGCTGCAGGGGCAAGTGCTGTCAGCTAGCACCTCACACACAGACACAGACAAAGATCCCCCGTGCAGCCTCTAACAGGCTGCAGGGGCAAGTACTGTTAACTAGCGCCTCACACACAGACACAGACAAAGATCCCCCGTGTAGCCTCTAACAGGCTGCAGGGGCAAGTGCTGTTAGCTAGCACCTCACGCACAGACACAGACAAAGGTCCCCCGTGTAGCCTCTAACAGGCTGCAGGGGCAAGTGCTGTTAGCTAGCACCTCACACACAGACACAGACAAAGGTCCCCCGTGTAGCCTGTGACAGGCTGCAGGGGCAAGTACTGTTAGCTAGCACCTCACACACAGACACAGACAAAGATCCCCCGTGTAGCCTCTAACAGGCTGCAGGGGCAAGTGCTGTCAGCTAGCACCTCACACACAGACACAGACAAAGATCCCCCGTGTAGCCTCTAACAGGCTGCAGGGGCAAGTGCTGTTAGCTGGCACCTCACACACAGACAAAGATCCCCCGTGTAGCCTCTAACAGGCTGCAGGGGCAAGTGCTGTCAGCTAGCACCTCACACACAGACACAGACAAAGATCCCCCGTGTAGCCTCTAACAGGCTGCAGGGGCAAGTGCTATTAGCTAGCACCTCACACACAGACAAAGATCCCCCGTGTAGCCTCTAACAGGCTGCAAGGGCAAGTACTGTTAACTAGCACCTCACACACAGACACAGACAAAGATCCCCCCGTGTAGCCTCTAACAGACTGCAGGGGCAAGTGCTGTTAGCTAGCACCTCACACACAGACACAGACAAAGATCCCCCGTGTAGCCTCTAACAGGCTGCAGGGGCAAGTGCTATTAGCTAGCACCTCACACACAGACAAAGATCCCCCGTGTAGCCTCTAACAGGCTGCAAGGGCAAGTACTGTTAACTAGCACCTCACACACAGACACAGACAAAGATCCCCCGTGTAGCCTCTAACAGACTGCAGGGGCAAGTGCTGTTAGCTAGCACCTCACACACAGACACAGACAAAGATCCCCCGTGTAGCCTCTAACAGGCTGCAGGGGCAAGTACTGTTAACTAGCACCTCACACACAGACACAGACAAAGATCCCCCGTGTAGCCTCTAACAGACTGCAGGGGCAAGTGCTGTTAGCTGGCACCTCACACACAGACACAGACAAAGATCCCCCGTGTAGCCTCTAACAGACTGCAGGGGCAAGTGCTGTTAGCTAGCACCTCACACACAGACACAGACAAAGGTCCCCCGTGTAGCCTCTAACAGGCTGCAGGGGCAAGTGCTGTTAGCTAGCACCTCACACACAGACACAGACAAAGGTCCCCCGTGTAGCCTCTAACAGGCTGCAGGGGCAAGTGCTGTCAGCTAGCACCTCACACACAGACACAGACAAAGATCCCCCGTGTAGCCTCTAACAGGCTGCAGGGGCAAGTGCTATTAGCTAGCACCTCACACACAGACACAGATCCCCCGTGTAGCCTCTAACAAGCTGCAGGGGCAAGTGTTGTTAGCTATCACCTCACACAGACACAGACAAAGATCCCCCGTGTAGCCTCTAACAGACTGCAGGGGCAAGTGCTGTTAGCTAGCAACTCACACACAGACACAGACAAAGATCCCCCGTGTAGCCTCTAACAGACTGCAGGGGCAAGTGCTGTTAGCTAGCACCTCACACACAGACACAGACAAAGGTCCCCCGTGTAGCCTCTAAGAGACTGTAGGGGCAAGTACTGTCTCCCAGATCCCGATGTTTACCACACACCGCACCATGTACACACATTTGAGTCTGAGTCGACCTAGGGGACGCCCAGGACCGGTTCTGGTTCGTTGTGGTGGCCGTGAACGGGAATCGAACTCGGTTCGCCGGGTTTGTGGTGCAGCGTGCTAACCGCTGCGCCACCGCTCCCTCCTTCAGCATCACGCCCACTCACGCTCATAGAGCCAGACTAAGGCTCCTCTAGGATTCTCAGGGTTCAGTGTTAATGAGAGAGGCTCATAGAGCCAGACTAAGGCTCCTCTAGGATTCTCAGGGTTCAGTGTTGATGAGAGAGGCTCATAAAGCCAGACTAAGGCTCCTCTAGGATTCTCAGGGTTCAGTGTTAATGAGAGAGGCTCATAGAGCCAGACTAAGGCTCCTATAGGATTCTCAGGGTTGTGTTAATGACAGAGGCTCATAGAGCCAGACTAAGGCTCCTCTAGGATTCTCAGGGTTC